ACAAAAAAAAAAAAAACCCAAAAATACAATGACAAACAAACAAATAAAGCTAACCAAAAAAACCAAACAAGCCAAAAACAAATGGCGCTGAAGGGGCTGGCCTATGGAAACAGGCCGGACCCAGGCAGCAGTGAGTTTGTGTCTTTCTGGTTGAGTGACCGTGGCCTGTTGGAAAGCAGTGGAGGCCATGCACAGGGAAGAAAGGTGGGGGTGGAAAATCATGTATCCCTGGTTACCAGGTGCTCTGTCTCCTGTTGGGAGCTCCTTGAAGTTGCCTTCCTGTAATCCCTGTCCGTGGTCCTTGGTAGCTGAGGTCCAAGATGACGAATCCAGGTGGCAGTGAGCTGGTGTCTCCCTGGCCAAGTGACCACGGCCTGTTGGAAAGTGGCAGAGGCCTTGTACAGGGAAGAAGACAGGGGATGGGAAATCGTGTATCCCTGGTTACCTTGTGCTCTGTCTCCTGTTGGGAGCCCCGTGAAGTTGCCTTTCTGTACTCCCTGTCTGTGTTCCTTGGTGGCTATAGTCCAAGATGGTGAATCCGTGCCTTATTAACTGGTAGGGGACCTCCATTCCATAGCTCTCTTCATTCTCTGTCCTCTGTCAGTTTCTTATTCCATTCTGTGCTTGATCGGGTTCTTTATTCCTTCATTTGATGCTTAGCATTACAGGATTGACGTTTGTATTTGTTTTGCTTAGTTTTTCAGGTCTTTGCTGCAGAGGGACGGCATGGGGCTTCTGTCTATAGGGCCATGTTGGCTCTGCCTATTCTGTTGTTTTTATAACTCAGAAGCAATTAGGTTTAGGACCCACCCTACATTGGCATGACTTTGTTAATATAACAAAAGAAGAACTCTATTTCCAAACAAGATCACATTTACTCACGGAGTTAGGCTTTCAACATATATTTTTGGGGGAAACACTGAGATTCACATATTGCCTTTTCAAATAGAATTTTTTTTTTTTTTTTTTTACTATTTAAATAAAATAAACTAATAAGTATCTCTCAAATCTAGGGGAAAGAACTGAGCTGTTTTTTTTTTCTTCTAAGTTTTTTTTACTATGTAATAATTAGTCAAATGTTTTCCTCATCTCAGAACCTTACAAAAGAGTAAAAGGCAAGGAAAGTTTTTCTACTGAGGACCAGTGACACAGCTGAAAAATTAGTTGTCTTATGTAAGTTAGAGAGGAGCCCTGGTGGTGCAGTAGTTAAAGTGCTCAGCTGCTAACCAAAATGTTGGCTGTTTGAACCCTCCACCCACTCTGAGGGAGAAAGATGTGGCAGTCTACTTCCGGAATTGACTCAACAGCAATGGGTTTATGTAAGTAAGAAGGAATAAGCATGAGGAGCTGGTTTTCATTCCAACCAAACACTCCCCAACTGCTCATTCCACAGACAGGACATTTGAACAAGAAACAATACACTGGAAATGCAATTCACAAAAAGTTAACATTGATGTTGTAAGACTATATTTTTGTAAATACTTGTCTTGATCCAAATGGAACCATAACTTCCTCACTGCTATTTAGAAATGGACTAACATGTTGGAGAAGGATGCCCATAATTAGCCAAAATCACACCCTTCTCCTAGCCTTGCCTCTACAAAGTTGGTAAGGGGACACGAGAGGACAGGGAATGTGGTCAGAGAAAGCTTAATCTGGATTCTTTGGCATTTGAACTAGGTCTGAGAAGTAGTCCACCAGTTCTTCCCTCTTGCTAACTTCCCATATCAAATCTGGTCAATTCTCACTTATAAGTCCCTGACAAATCCACCACTCATCTGCATCCTCTCTGCTGTGGCCTTAATTCAGCCTGTAACAATTTCTCAACTAGATCCCTGCAGCGATCCCTGACTTATCTGTGTGCATCCACCTTCACTCCCTTTTGATCCATAATCTTCCTCACCAGTGTTTTTCAAACTACTGGTCAAAATCCATTGGTGGATCATAAAATCAATAACAGTTACAACCAGCATTTTAGAAAAATGAGATAGAATAGAATAGAAAACACATGAGTGTGTTGCATGTAACAAGTATTATTTCATGAAACTTACATTTCATAGGTGCCCTTGGTATATGACACCCTGGGTCCTGGTGTAAAATGTAGTTCTTAATGGGATCATGGGCAAAAAGTCTGAAAAGCCCCCACTTGACATCGCTGCCAAAGTGATCTTCTTAAAATGCAAAGCTGTTCTGTTTTTTCCCTGCTTAAAATTCTATAGGATCTCTCTAGTGCCTTCAGTATGAAAGTAGTTTTAATTCTCCAGATCAGAGGTGAAAAAGGTTTTAATGATTTCAATTATTAGCAGGGCATTTAAGAGCTTTCATGACTTGGAATTTGCCTAACCAACCTCATCTCATGCCACTCCTCCAGGTACATCCAATAGCAGTAACTCTCAAACAGTAATGAGTATCAGAATACTGAGGAACTTGTATAAATGAAGATCCCTGGGCTCCACTACCAGAGATTCTGATTCAGTAGATCTGAGATAGAGCCCAGAAACCTGCATTTGCATCATTGTCTGATACCAAAGCATGCTGGGGGTAACAATAGGTCAATGGCGGATTCTCAGTGCAAAGATAGAGTGTAAGGGACAAACTCATTGCTGTCAAGTCAATTCCAACTCATAGCGACCCTATAAGACAGGGTAGAACTGCCCCACAGGGTTTCCAAGGCTGTAAATCTTTCCAGAAGCAGACTGCCACATAGTTCTCTTGTGGAGCAGCTAGTGGGTTCAAGCCACCGACCTTTCAATTAGCAGCTGAGCACCCTAAATGCCTAACTCTGCTTTGTGAAAGGAAGAGGGGACAGGAAAGGGTAGGGAATGTGGTCAAGGAAAGCATAATCTGGAATCTTTGGCATATGAAGCAGGCCTTAGAAATGAGTAAGAGATTGCAAGTAGAGTAAGTAGACAGAGAGAGAAAGGAAGATTCCAGTCAGAAGGAATGGCATACACCCAAGAAGGGGAGTGTAGATAGTATTGTGGGTTTGGTGAATGCTAACTCTATGTCATTCAGAAATGATTCATTCAGCTCCTTCTATATACCAGGTATAATACTAAGGTGCGGGAGATAATAGCTGTGAAAAGGTCTTTGCCCTCAGGAAGGCATCCACCTACTTGGGTATAGGGCTGGTGAGTGAAAGTGGAGGAGAAGGATAAGGCAGGAATACCATGTTGAGGGCCACAGTTGGAAAGGCCCTGTAAGCCAGGCCAAGGAACTTGGATTTGGTTATAAAGAAGGTCCATTACTAAGATGTGGTTTAGAAAAACCATTTCAGCTCTGCTATGGTACTGGGGAAGAGACTATAAGTAGAAAAACTGGAGTCACGGAGGCCAGTTGTGAGGCTGTGTCTTAATACAGGAAAAGATTAGTGAGGCCCTACACTAAGACAAGGTCCCTGGGTGGCAAAAATGGTTTGTGCTGGACTGCTAACCTACAAAGGAACCCTGGTGGCACAGTGGTTAAGCGCTTGGCTGCTAATTGAAAGATCAGCAGTTCAAACCCACCAGCTGCTCTGAGAAAGATGTGGCAGTCTGCTTCTATAAAGATTACAGCCTTGGAAGCCTTATGAGGCAGTTCTACTCTGTCCATTAGGGTTGCTATGAGTCAGAATCGACTCAATGGCAATGGTTTTTTTTTTTTTTAACTAACCTAGAGGTTGATGGTTTGAACCCACCCAGTGGTGCTGTAGAAAAAACACCTGGCGATCTGTTTATGTAAAGATTATAGCCAAGAAAATCCTACGAAGCAGTTCTATTCTGTAAAACATGGGGTTGCCATGAGTCGGAATCAACTTGATGGTAACAGGTTTTTTTTTTTTTGTTTGTTTGTTTTTAAACTGAGACAGGAGAAGATTTAAGATATATTTAGAAGTTAGAAACTTTAGGATTTGGTAAATAATTTCTTATAGAAACCAGTACGACTGTAGCTTTGGGCATATAATGGACTAAACGTGTTGTTTTAGGCAGAGGGACATAGACCGCTACCATTGCCTGCCAAATCTTTACTGGGCAGGAACCTGATTCCCTTCTTTCAACACTGAGTTTCGCAATAGAATATTTCCCTTATCTAGAACACATTGTATTCCACTTCCAGGATTCAAGTTTCCATGTTTCATGTAATGATCCATCCTCACACAGGATGGACAAGCTCTAGGATTGTCAGAGAGTTCTCTTATCTGTATTGCTGGCAGAGCTGTAAGATAAAATTGCCCATCTGCCTGCTGGCTGTTGTTTGATTAGTATGCTAATAGGATTGTAAGTTAGAGACACGAAATTCTGGGTATATCTCAAAGATAAGTTAAAGTCATTCATATGTTCAATAAATATTTATTGATCACCTTCTGTGTTCTGGTCAGTCATGCTTGCTACTTTCATGGAACTTATACTCTAATTTGGAGGGCTGGGTAGGGGACATGCAGACATCCACAAAGTCTATATCATCAGATTATAGTCAACATTTTTATAGTTTAGTTCTTTGGGACAAAACCAAAACCAAAAACCAAACCCACTGCCTTCGAGTTGATTTCGACTCATAGAGACCCTATAGGACAGGGTAGAACTGTCCCATGGGGTTTCCAAGGAGTGGCTGGTGTATTCAAACTGCCAACCTTTTGGTTGGCAGCCAAGCTCTTAACCACTGTGCCACCAGGGCTCCGCTGTGTCACTAGGGCTCCTTTATTTGGGATAAGAGGAAGAGGGTCCAAATCAGTGGTTTTCAAACACTTGTTGTTCAGCTATGGACTTCAGATGAGAGCTGACCTGGAAATCCATCCTACTAACAATTAACAGGAGCTGCTCTTGTAAGGCAAGGGTGTGGGCCCAGCCTGCAGATGGCCCCTGTTGTACTTCTGTAGGACCCCTGGGGATCATCAGAGCAGTCTCAAAGCTACTAGCTTGGCTGACTTTTGATATTTAATATTTAAGTGCTAACTCTTGCCTTCTGGGTCCATATTTGTTGCTTTCGTTTTTTTACCACCTTCTCTCCTTTGTGTCTTCAAGCAAGGGCATCACAGAGCCTCCAGAAGGAACTAAAATTTACAAGGATTCCTGGGACTTTGGACCGTACTTAAAAATCTTGAATGCTGCCATAGGAGATGAAATATTTCTTCACTCATCCTGGATAAAAGAATACTTCACTTGGGCTGGATTTAAGGATTATAACCTTGTGGTCAGGGTACGCTATTAAGTATTATTTATCTTTGCTTTCTTGTATTATTGAAATATATGAAAATCCATTAGTATTCCAAACTATTTCTCAACAAGCATTCCTTATTAGGCCCTACTGACTGCCTAACAGAGAACAGATTTGAAACGTGATAAGCCATCCCTCATTGAAAACTTAATTGAAGTCTAGTTCGGTTTCCCTTTTGGAGCATTCTGTTACCTCCTATCAATGCGTGTTTTTGTTGTTCTTGTTTATTTTTGTTTGTTTGCTTAGCATGGCAGGGACAGCTATTTAATCTGTGGGGCTGGAAGGTGGGATCCACTCAGTGAGAGGGTGACTTGGAACAGGGTGAAAAAGCGGCAGCTAACTCTTACCTGCAGTTGTGGTAAGGACTGCATTGCACAAACAAGAGGTCAGCCTAGAACAAGAACTTAAACTGAGCACCAACACATACACAGAGCCTGCAAGCCAAGCTGTTCAAGTTATAACCTGGTCACCAAAGCTGGGGGTGTATCCAAAAGCAAAGTAAGTCCTGACAGGCAAAGAGTATAAGAGAAAGAAAATCAGTTGCCTTTGAGTCGACTCCAACTCACAGTGACCCCGTGGGTGTCAGAGTAGAAGTGTGCTCCATAGGGTTTTCAATGGCCGTGATCTTTCTGAAGAAGATTGCTGCTGACTTCTCGGCTAGTAGTCAAGTGCTTAACTGTTTTCGCCACCCAGGGAGTCCCTGCAAGAGTCCTTAGGCAGTGCAAACATTTAATGTGCTTGGCTGCTAACTGAAAGGTTAGCAGTTTGAGTCCACCCAGAGGTACCTTGGAAGACAGACCTGGCAATAAACTTCTGAAAGATCACGTAGCACATTGAAAACCCTATGGAGCACAGTTCTACCCTGACACACATGCAGTTACCATGAGTAGGAATTGACTCAACAGCAAGTAACAACAACAACAGGGACTCCTGTAGGAGAAAGACGAGGCCAGAAATGGACCAGGAATAACTGCAAAGTTGGTGAGTAACCAACCACCTCTAGCTTATAGTGCGTACCTGAGGTTGTGTGTGGAGACCAAAGTGCAGGCTAGGCCTCAGGAAACGGCAACACTCACACTTTTAAAGTCAGGCATCCATTACTTCCATAGTGACCACTATTCCCAACTTTACTGTTCAACCCCTGAACATTAGTACCAGGCAATGCTTCCCATTCTCTAAACAATGACTCATTGAAACCTACCTAGGGGTCAATGCCAGTCTGAGTTTCCACTTGTCAATAGTGAGGTGAGTATGAGTGGGGGTATGCGTGTTTGTACAAAGATGTCATCTCTTTTTTCCTGGAATGAACTGTCATCATTCCAAGATTAGGTCCTTTCTATTTTTGAGTGGTTAAAACATTCTTCTTTTAATGAAATAAAAAGATAGTTGATAGTAGTGAGGGGGCCCTGGTAGTGCAGTGGTTAAGTGTTTGGCTGCTAACTGCAAAGTCAGCAGTTCAAACCCACCAGCCACTCTGAGGGAGAAAGATGTGGCATTCTGCTTTTGTAAAGATTTATAGCCTTGGAAACCCCGTGGGGGCAGTTCTACTCCGTCCTCTAGGGTCACTATGAGTAGGAATCAAATCAGTGGTAATGAGTTTGGTTTAGATAGTAGTGATAGTAGACGTAAGATTTTTTTTTTTTGAGCCTTCACTTGGCAAAATAATTTTTTTTATTAGCTCCCCCATAATCTTTAGGAATTTGTCTTTGAAATCCAAAGACCTGGAAAATGTTGGTCTAAATGATCGTTTTAGTTGGACAATTACTATGGAAGAGAGAATGCTTTTGGGATTTTCAATGAAACTTCTTTGATTTAGCTGCTCTATGACAGCGAGAAACATTACTCATTTTATTTACCCATATTTTTACACAAATAAAGCTCGCCTTCTGCGTTTGTTTGTCAGCCTCTCCTAAGAGCATTATACTAATTCTTACAGCAACATATGGAAGAGGACTGGCGTGGTTGAGGGGAGAGGGTATGGCTGGCAAAAAACGCAGAAGGCGCACATTATTTGCATAAAAATACGTATTCCCTAGCCTGCAAACTTATGGTGGCTTTGATGCCTCATTAATTATAGTACTTAAGATAATGATAATCTTCTCTATAAATTTGATTGAAGTTAGTGATATGAAGTAGTTTTGCTAGTGTAGAAGACTAGAATTTGAATGCTATCAGTTCAGGAAAGAGAGAGGATGACTTTTTCTATATTAATTCCAATTCATTACTATTTATCATTTAAGGGCTTTTGAGTCTTACATATTTTAGGATTTTTTAAAGACCTTGACCACCAGATTGATCTGGTTCTTCCCTTTACCATGTTGTCATTTGCACAGATGATTGAGACAGATGAGGACTTCAACCCTTATCCTGGAGGATATGACTATTTGGTTGACTTTCTAGATTTATCCTTTCCAAAGAAAAGACCAAGCCGGGAACATCCCTATGAAGAAGTAAGCAGCAACACTGGTGGAAGTGTTTTTTATTCCCTTGGTTCCTTCTTTCCTTTCTTCCTTCCTTTTTAATAAACTTTTTATTTTGGAATAGTTTTAGATTTACAGAAAAGTTGCAAAGATAGTACAGAGAATATCATTAGATCTTACATTACTACAGCACATTTGTCGCAACCTCAACATAAAGAAAACAAAAATCCTCACAACTGGACCAATAAGCAACATCATGATACATGGAGAAAAGATTGAAGCTGTCAAGGATTTCATTTTACTTGGATCTACAATCAATGCCCATGGAAGCAGCAGTCAAGAAATCAAATGATGTATTACATTGGCTGAATCTGCTGCAAAAGAATCTTTAAAATCTTAGAGAGCAATGGTGTCAGTTCGATGACTAAGGTGCACCTGATCCAAGCCATGGTCTTTTTAATTGCCTCATATGCTTGTGAAAGCTGGACAGTGAAAAAGGAAGACTGAAGTAGAACTGATGCATTTGAATTATGGCATTGTTAAAGAATACTGACTATACCAGGAACTGTCAGAAGATCAAACAAATCTGTCTTGGAAAAGTACAGCCAGAATACTCCTTAGAAATGAGAAGACTCCATCTTGCTTACACTGGCTATGTTATCAGGAGGAACCAATTTCTGGAGAAGAACATCATGCTTGGTAAAGCAGAGGGTCAGCGAAAAAGAAGAAGATCCTCAATGAGATGGACTGACAGTGGCTGCAACAATGGGCTCAAACATACCTACTGTTGTGAGGATGGCACAGGACTGGGCAAAGTTTTGTTTTGTTATACATGGTATCACTATGAGTCAGAACTGACTTGATGGCACCTAACAACAACAGCAACAATGAACCAGTATTACAACGTCATTGTTAACTGAAGTCTATACTTGTTTCTTTTTCATGAAGGTTTGTTTCATCTACCCACTTACTTTCAAACACTTGATCAGCATAAGCTATTATGAGACCGGTGAGCCTCTACCTTCCTTTTGCTTTTCTCCAATTATCTCTCTCTCCCAAGTGAACCCAATGGGTGTCTCTATAAAAGGAGTTAATCAACATAAATCAACACATATTTTGTAGTCAATGCATATTTTGTTGAGCTCCAATTTTGAACAAACCCATTAATTGGGTGATATAAAGGAAAGAGTTGTGTCTTTCGAGACAGCTTCGCTATTGGTGCCCCAACCCTGCAACTTACTGATTATGAGTCTTTGGGGAAGTTATTTAACTGACCTGAGTCTTGTTGTTGTTGTTTTTTTCCCTTTCCATAGGGCTTATTCCCACTTTATCAACTGGACATGAGGGTTAAATGACATAATTTATGTGAACAAGCATTATAACTAAAATGATATATAAATGTAAGAATTAGTTAAGTTAGGAATATATACAAATTAATTAATCTAATTAGATCCCCAAATCTAACCAATCACCACAACAATGTTGAGGACACGAAGTCTGTCCTTAAGAATCTTATTGCTTATGTGATGCCCCAACTGTAGAGGTTTAAATGTACTTTCATATAATAGACGTGTTCTTAAACTACATTTTTATAAATTGACTTGTATTTTTCTGTTCAGTAAAGTATTTGTTATTGAAGAGAATTCTATATTGAAACTTTAGTAAAACCAATAACCTACTACCTGATTTGCGAGTCTTAAAAAACTGGGTTTTCACATATGGGTGAGTCCTGTGTGAAGCACCCATATGAGTGATAAACACATTTACACCCATTTTGAACAAAATGAATCTATATTTTTGTTTTATTTTACAAACACATGGCTTCTTCTAGGTTAAGCACAGGTTTAAACACTTTATAAATTTTAAGTCAGTTAATCCTCTTAACAACCCTATAAATAGGAATTATTATATTCCCTGTTTTATAGATGATGAAACTGCCAAACTAAGAAGTTAAATAACTTGCCCAAGGCTGTACAGCTAGTAAATGGTGGCATAGGGCTTTGAACTTGAGAACTCTAGGTCCAAAGCCTATGCTTTTAGCCACTGTGTTGCCTCTCAAATCTGAATTTACAAAACCTATAAATTAAGAGGAGCTAAAGATGTCTGTTAGCCTTAAAGGAGACTCATCTTTGTAATCTTTAAAATAACAAGCTCCCAGAGTTCTTTTAAAATATTTAATTTGAAAGAAAATGTGACTTATTCATAGCTTTTTGTAATGCATCTGTTGGATGAAGCAAGCAACAGCCCTGTTGTAGATTTAAGCACCAAAAAGAAACAAACCAGTTGCCGTCAAGTCAGTTCCAACACATGGTGACCTCATGTCTGTTAGAGTAGAACTGCGCTTCATAGGGTTTTCAATGGCTGATTTTTCCGAAGTAGATTGCCAGGCCTTTCTTCCAAGGTGACTCTGATTGGACTCGAACCTCCAGCCTTTTGGTTAGCAGTCAAGCATGTTAACCATTTGTACCACCCCAGGGACTCCAGATTTAAGTACACGGTGGGGTAAATCATCCCACCTGCCACGTACATGGTGGCCTGCGATGTGTCTCTCAGTATTTTTATCTTCCAGGATTTTAATGAGATATCTGTGTGTTGGGGTTTGCATAAAGAGGACTGTGCCTATACTTGGAAGAGCTCCTCTTCTTGCTACCTGGAGCCTTCTCATACTGCCTTACTTTTTTTTTTTTTTGCATTATTTGCCTTTCAAGTTCACAATTAAACTTTCTATTACACCAACTCTGCATCTTTTCTAGATGCCTTGTCCCTGTAGTTCTCCGTCTTTCTGCTCTGATCTGGATAGGCTCCTGTCTAGATCACCTGCAAATCTGTCACCTGGGATAACCCTTCATGCTTCCCAGATGCCACCCATACCTTCCCCTTCCTTGCTTTACTCCTTTGTGGGACTTTCTCCTTAAGTAACTTCCTCTGTAGATGACGATGAATTAAGGAATTACTCCATATTTCCCAATAAGAAAAATTTTAGAAACCAATTTAAGGCTCTATGCACATGCATATAGTTTGTTAGTCTCTAGGTTTTACTTGTCAACAGAGGTTACATGTTTAAATGCTCAACCTGGCCCAAGGCAGATCTTGTAAATAGGTGGAGCTGGGTGGGAACTATGTCCAGTGGAAAGTAAATGCCCATTGGAAGGCTGCAGCCCCTACTCAGCTCCAGCTGATCTTCTGAATTTTCCAGGGAACTTAGAATCTGGATTTTCATGTGCAATATCCAGATTTATAAATGTAGAAAGCTAATTTAATTTTTAGAAAGGATTGTGTTGTTCTTAGCTGCCATCAAGATGACTCAGACTGATGGCGACCTGATGTATGGCAGAATGAAATGTTGCCTGGTCCTCCTGTGTCATCCTCACAATTGCCAGCATGTTCCAGTCCATTGTTGCTACTATTGTGCCAATCCATCTCATCAAGGGTCTTGATGGCCCTCTACATTTCTCCGAACATAATGTCGTCCTCTAGCAATTGATCCCTCCTGTTGACAGGTCCAAGCAAGTGAGTTGGACGATGTTCTGTTGTGATCCGTACAGTTTTCATTGGCTAATTTTTGGAAGTAGATCACCAGGCCTTTCTTCCTAGTCTTAGTCTGGAAGCTGTGCTGAAACCTGTCCACCACAAGTGACCCTACTGGTATTTGAAATATTGGTGGCATAACTTCCAGCATCTTAGCAAGTTGCAGGCCACCACAGTACAACAAACAGACAGATGAGTGATGGATAAAGAACTTAGGCTATCTGAAACAGAGCTAAAGGCTGTATTTGGTCAAGGAATCATGAGTTTGCTTTAAATTTTGAAGGTGAGGAGCGAGCTCTTAGGCTGAGGGACCCCTATATTCCAAAAATGGTGAGCCACTTGGTTTAGGATACCCCAAATATACTATTTGCCCTAGTTCTCCCCACAAAATAAATTTGTCCAGGGAGCTGTGTAGAGGGTTAAGTTAAGGATCAACTGTGTTATGTGCACTCCTTTGTGCTTGTGTTTCCCTGCTGTCCTCCATGATACCTTACTCTACTCCCTCCATGTCTGAGTACTCCTCCACATATGGGGATTCAGCTGCCTCTGCCCTGCTTCTTTGCTTGGTATTTATCCACCTGCTTTCCAGATTGTCACAGTTAGTTGAAATATCCTGTCTGCCAACAAGTCACTTCATTTTCTCTTCATTGTGGCAGTTTATGCCTCTATAATTGCTTTGTCAACATTTTTTTTTTTTGTACTTTAGGTGAAGTTTTACAAAAAAAATATTTTCTCATTAAACAGTCAGTACCCATATGTTTTATGACACTGGTTAACAACCCATGGCGTGTCAACACATGCTCCCCTCTCGGCCTTGGAGGAAAATTTTATTTTTATTTTTGGTGAAAATATACATAGCCAAAGATACACCATTTCAAAAATTTCTGCATGTACAATTCAGTGATGTCAATTATGTTCTTCCAGTTGTGCTGCTAGTCTCACTTTAGATGAAGGTTTACAGAACAAAATAGTTTCTCATTAAACAATTAGTACACATATTGCCCTATGACAATGGTTAAGAACCCTACGACATGTCGCTTTGTCAACATTTTAGTTTGTTCTTGAAGTGTTGAGAAGACATGTTATGATGTGATCTTCCCATTATTTTGAATCAGATGGTCTCCTATCAGTTACAATGACACTGTCCCCTTGTTTCTCCTCCCTTTCTGACTATTCGGAATTCTTCAGGATTCTCCTTTCTCTCCTATCGCTTAACTGTCTTGGTTTCTCCCAGGGCTCTGTGCTCTCTTCCTGGGTGAACTCATCTGCTAAGACCACTTCTCTGCTAATGACTCCAAAATCCATAATTCCAGCCCAGACCTCTTCCTGGCTCCCTCCAGCACTGCCAAGCTTCAGATTCAATGCTTGGCACCTCATCTTCAAACAAAATCCGGCTCATGATCTTCCTTCTCTAAAACTGCTCCTTCTCCTTCGCTATGTTGATTGTTGACCATACCATACCTCCAGTCATTTGAGTTAGAAGCAAGAGAATAATCTTCGACTCTTCCCATTACCTCATCCCTATATTTAATCAGTTACCAAGATCTTCACACTTTATGCCCTAAATATTTCTCAAATCTGTCCCCAGTTCTCCATGTGTTCCTCTCCAGATTGCAAGTTCAAGAAAGTCTATCCCCCTTCACTGAGAGGACTAGGCCTTGAGATTGCATACTAGCTGGGCATTTTTCAGCCCAGCCAAGTTGTGGACTCATGATCCTAAATCTCTATTGGCAAAGGTCTAGATCCTCTGACTTTTGCTTGTAATCTTAGTTCACAATGGATATAATTGCTTTATTAGAATGGTGAAGGAAAAGGAAATACACCTAAAATGCTAATCTATTCATTCTGTTTCATTTAATAGCATGTCATTTAGGAAAACTTGCCCCTGCCAGTATTAGTATAGTAGTTACCAGAAAAAAACAAACAAAGAACAACAACAACAAAAAAACAAACAAACAAAACCCATGATGCTATATACTGAAAAAGTTCCTGGTAAACTTTAACATTGGTACTGATGAATTCTTAAAACCACATGCAATCTTAGGAAACTTTTTCGTGTGACTTCTTGCTCTTCATATAAATTATCTCGTTTTTTTCTCACAATAGTCCTACAATAGAGGAAACCAAGGCTTAGCATGGTTAAGTTCGCATAATTACTAAGAGCTGAGCTGGAACTCAAAACTATCTCTGCTTGTCTCCAAATCCTGTGCTCCTTTGACTATTCAGCAGCCTCAGCATCAGAAGTTGGGATTCTTTAAGGGTAAATCTTGGCCAACTGATCTAAATTAATCCTGCTGTGTGGCAGGCCTGGAATGCAGCAGACTGTAGTACACTGGCAGACCCTGTTTTGTCTCTATATGTTCAGGAAGGAAGCAAATATTTCACTTTGGAGATGATGATGTGATGATGATGATGATGATGGAGGAGGAGGAGGAGGAGGAAGGAGGGGGAAGGAAGGGGAAGGAGGGAAGAGGAGGAGGAGAAGGAGGAAGAGGAGGGGAAGGGGAAGGAGAAGGAGAAACAGAAGGAGAAGAAGGAGGAGGAGGGGAAGGGAAACAAGGAGGAGGAGTGGGAGGAGGAGGAGGAGAAGAGAAGGGGAGGAAGAAGAAGAAGAAAGCAAACATTTATTGAAATCTTAATATGTGCCAGGTCTAATTTTAAGTAGGATCCCTAGTGGTATAGTGGTTAAGAGCTCGGCTGCTAAGCAAAAGGTCAGCAGTTCAAGTCCACCAGCTGCTCCTTGCAAACCCTATGGAGCAGTTCTATTCTGTCCTATAGGGTCGCTATGAGTTTGAACCGACTCAACGACACCTAACAACAATAACAATTTTAAGTATTTTATATACACTGACTCTTTTAATCCTTACAACACTCCTATGAGGAAAGCTCTATTATTATCTTAATCTTATAGATGAGGAAACTGAGGCCCAGAAAGGTTACCAAGATCACACACTAGAACCTGGATTTGAACCTGGCAATCTGACCCTGGAGTCTGTATTCACAGTCACCACATTCTGCCAGCTCTTGATCTGTCTTCTGTTTTCCTTCCCTCAATTTCTACTGCACTGTGTTCCTCCTTTCTCCCTCAGTCTGTGATGTCTGACTCCTTTCCTTGACTCCCCATGGTTCCGCCACTGAGGGCAGCTACTTCTCCCAGGGACACGAGGGATGTGATACTCTGTGCTGTCTGGTGTGCTTCTGCATGTTGCTCTGCATATGTTCCAGATCCGGAGCCGGGTCGATGTCATCAGACATGTAGTAAAGAACGGTTTACTCTGGGACGACTTGTATATAGGGTTCCAGACCCGACTCCAGCGGGATCCTGACATATACCATCATCTGTAAGTCTGAAAACCCCTGCCAGACCCTAGGCCACTCTGAGGATGCCATGGATAGATAGATAAGCAGCATCAGTGACTGCCTATGCCCCCAAATTCTGGTGGATACTTGAAATCTCCCCATTAAAGCTTCATTCCTTTATTAGCTTTTTAAAAAACAAATCTGGTTATCATTTATACATTCAAGTGAATGTGTTTCCCATCATTTTTTGGGAGTGGTTTTTGGTATAGGACAAAGAAGGACATCATGGAAGGGACAGGTGTTGTTTGCCAAGACAAGAATGAGGAGGGGTAAGTATGTATGTGGCCAGGATGTGATTGTTGAAGATAATCATTTCCCGTATCACATGTCTGTCTCTGCCTAACCTTGAGCATGAATTTGATGGGCTAGCTGGTTAATGGGAAGGCCTCCCTGGATTCCTGCCTGCCTACACTTAAAAAATGTTCAAGTCTTTCACTGCAAAACTGTATGTTTTTAAGATTATATATGGAATATTTATGTGGAAATCTCAGAAAGCCCCATTTGTTGTTTTTATATTGCAAAATAATTACCAAGGGAGAGAATGCTTTACTTTCATTACCACTGATCCTCTGAAAATACAGGAAATTTAACCTTAAAAATTCCAATCGTTTAAAATTTAAAAGCAACATCCACTATTTAGCTTCTACCTTGAGTTTGCAAGCACAGGCATTTAGTAAAATTAAAAAATAAAACTTTTAACTTGTTTTTAAGTGTCCTTAAACTATAAAAGATGCTAACAATGTAGCAGTGTCTAGCCTGAAAAGTAAAAGTAAGTACTCCATCGGGCACCTCGCAGTAAATCGTTTCCTGTCCCTCCTTCCCCACTTCCCAGGATAGCCCTTGATAACAATTCAGTGTGTGTCCTCTCAGGCCTACTTCTGTAAATATATTTCCTTTCCATAAAATGTCCATACAGTTGTGGAAGGAGAAGTGTTATTGTTACTGTTGGTTTTTAATGTAATCCCAGTGCACATGTTCTGCAACTGGCATTTCTTACTCATCAATTTTTTTTCCTCTCTCTGTCTCTCATTACTGTATTTTAAGTATCTCTCCATACTGGGACACACAAATCAACCCCAGACCTTTTAATGGCAGTAAAACATTCCATGTTTTATTCATTTGCAACAGCACATATACCTATCTTATGGTTCTGGAAAAAAAAAAGAAGGTGGCAACTTTTGGGAGAAGGGGATTCTGGAAGTTCCTTTCCTTAAGAACTTAATACCATCTTGGAAACTTCTCAGATATGGATGTTAAAGATTATTTTGTCATATTATGTCTTGATAACAAAGGTCATCACTTTAAAAAGATCCCACAATGAATCTTGGGAAGCAGTCACAGCCCAATTTATCTGTTGCTCCGAAAATGAGATTTATAAGTTAATTAAACATTTTTCTCATTACAAAAATAATACAAATCCACTGTAGAAATTTTGGAGAAATGTAAAAAAAAAAATCTAAACCACAAATAATCTCATCAACCAGGAGAACAATTTATATTTTAATGTCTAGTTAATCCAGCGGGATAATACTGTACATATTTTTGTACCTATGTGTTTATTGAAAAATATATCATAGTTATTTTCCACATTACCATATAATTTTTCTACATCATCATTTTTAATGGCTGTCTACCTTGACAACAAATAGGTATATCCACACTTTATTTAACCAATCCTTGATCGACCTTTGTTTTCTAACTTCTCACTATTCAAAGCAATGATTTAGTTAATCAACATGTAGGTGTGTCTTCCTAAGGAAATTCATAGTGATGTCCCTAGGATAAATTCTTCAGAGTGGAGCTGCTGGGTCCAACACATCAGGGTATTTAGGTATCTGATGCACTTCGGCAGATCATTCTTCAGGAAGCCAGTTCACCCTCCCATAAATAACGCAGTCAGGAGCCATTTGCCTGCATCTTCACCAACACTACGTCCTAATGCTTTCACGTACAGTATATAAATCTAGATTTTCACATACGACGATCCCTTAAGTGAGGCACATTATACTAAAATAAAAATAAGACACAGTTGTCATGCTTTAAGGGACTATGTTCAACACACTGAAAATGCTAAGCTATGCGAATAGCTGAACACACAGAAATGCTATCTCTGAGAAAAGCTGAGTGCCAGGCACCAAATGGATTCTGGCAAAGCAACAGGTATGGATGTTTCAAAAGCATATTTCCCTGATTTATCTCTCTCACAGGTTTTGGAACCATTTTCAAATAAAACTCCCCCTCACGCCACCCAACTGGAGGTCCTTCCTGATGCACTGCAGGTAGAGCAGACCTGGGATCTCACAGGTAAGGCATCCTGTAGGTCTGGGATACACCTGTACCGTGTGTCCATAACGTTTTATTTGGCACTAAATTAAGCAGGTGCTGTGTCTGTCAGGAAACCTGACTTTTGGGAGAATGAGAGAGGCTAATATTACAAGAGGAGTCCTTGGGCAGTGCAAACAGTTAACACGCTCGCTGCTAACTGAAAGATTGGAGGTTGGAGTCCACCGAGAGGCTCCTCAGAAGAAAGGACTGGTGATCTAGTTCCAAAAAATCAGCCATTAAAAACCCTATGGAGCACAGTTCTACTCTGACACACATAGGGTAGCCAAGAGTCAGAGTCAACTTGACAGCAACTGGTTAACATTACAAGAAGAACATTCAAGTTTAAAAACAAGTAAATAAAATGAATGAAGAATGTGTTCAACCCAAAGATCATAGAATCTTTGGTCTCACTGAGGCGAACATACAGCCAATTATCAAACAAAATAAAAATTATTTCAGGCTGTCAGCAAGGTGTTCAGAGCTAAATCCTGAGCACCTGAGGAAAAGCAGCAACAAAAACTGAAGGGAGAAAAACTAACACAGAGAGAGTAAGATGGAAAACCCCACCTTACCATATCTAATCTCCCTCTCTACTTTGGGCTGATGGAGCTCAGCTTAACAGACACAAATCTGATCTAATATTTCTTCCTATAGCTGGGGATGTGATTTTATTAACTGAGTTACAAAACCCCTTTCCATATACTTATAGTTGAAAGAACCATGTACTATTACTACCAAACAAGAAAAAACCAAACCCATTGTCGCTGAGTTGATTCCAACTCATAGGGATCCTATAGGACAGAGTAGAACTGCTCCATAGTGTTTCCAAGGAGGGGCTGGTAGATTTGAATTGCCGACCTTTTGGTAAGCAGTCAGGCTTTTAACCACCTTGCCAGCAGAGCTCCACTATTACTACGAAGGTAGTAAATTACTTGACTCATGCATTCAGCTATTTATTTATGCATTCATGTATTTATTCCACAAAAAAACTATCCCATCACATTGCATTGTAATAGTCTATTAGTTGTCTCTCCCAGTAGACTCTGAGTTTCTTAAAATTAGAGATTGTTGCCTCTGTATCCCTAGTACTTAGCACACTGCCCTACACATACACAATTTTATTTAAAATAGGCATTCAAAGAAGGAACAAAGGAATTTCTGTCTCCCATCATCAGTGTGACTTGCCTCTTAAAAAAAGCTTCAATGTCCTTACCAGTAAAATTAAGGGGTCAAATTAGAATATCTTTAACATTCTTTCCAGTTGTAAAGTTCTTTGTTCCATACTCCAGACTACCTCAAGGCATTGGGCTAGCACTTCTAAGTTATTATGATTACAGGCTCGAAGGGAAGATACACATACAACTATACTACAAGTCACACTCTAATAAGCACTATATTTGTACAAACTAAGTGCTGCGAATACTGAGGAGAAAAGGATTACATTTGACTTTTTGATATGACCAAGGAGAGTATTAAGGAGGAGGTAGTATTCTGGGGGAGAGAGAGGGGCTTGAAGATTGGATAAAGTCTTTAAAAAGCAAAAATAGAGGGGACAGGGGGTAGAAAGAATATTCCAGACAGAAAGAATGGGTGAAGTCAAAACGTAGAGAAATGAGAGGTGAATTTGAGCAATGGCAAGTCTCCTAGTGTGACAGAGAAGTAAGGGAAACCAGGAAAGGGGCATGAGTAGGGTCTTGGAGAATAAGTAGGGTCAAGAGGCCTCAGTGAGGATGCTAAGCAGGTTCTGTCATTGTGAAAAATCAGGAGGCTTGAAAGATAAGGAAGCAGCAGATAGAGAGAGCTCCCAGTTCAAGGTCTTGGGGATGGAGCAGTTCAGAAAGAAAGTGGGGTTAAGAGTGCTTCTAGTATTAGTGGGTGAATGAATTGGAGGTAATGGGAATTGGAAGGTCAGTGTATATACTTTTAAGTTGCCTTATCAAGGAGACAATAAAATATAGTGGTCAACACCTCTGAGTTGGAATCCAACTTCTTGCATTAGAATTACGTGAACTTGGGCAAATTACTAACTCTCCATGTGTCTCAGATACCAATCTGAAAATGAATATAATAATAGTACCTCCCTCACAGGGTTGTATCATATGTGTAAGGCACATCTAGAAGAGTGACTGGCATGCAGTGAGTGAATAATAAGTGCCAACTTTATCAACCTCATAAAAGAAACAGGAGAGTCATGGTGACCATAGACAGTCACTTGGTAAATCAGTAAGAAGTCGCGAGGAGTCATGTTTTTATTCACATGCTGGTTTTAGATTCTCACTCATCTTAAAGCATCATAGGTTATATACCTTGAACTAAAGAATAAGAATGAAAATTCATCCAATGCAATAAAAAAGATGAAAAGATATTAGTACTGTGTTGGTGAGGGGTGCACAACATTTAGTGTAATTAGTATCACTAAATTGTACAGGTGAAAAACGAATCAGCAAACGTTGTTATATGTATTTTTACAACAATAAAAAAAACCTATTCATACCTATTAATTCGTACAATTAATACCTTTAATTCACAGGGATGCCAAGCAACATGAGATCGAAGAATTTACTGATGTTACATCTTGAACGCAAGAAGCTTATACCAAAGGAGACTATGATTTACTGATATCAATTAATAATCACATGTTTATGTCTTAGTTCACTAGTGCTGCTATAATAGAAATACCACAAGTAGTAGCTTTAACAAACAGAAATTTATTTCCTCTTAGTTTAGGAGGCTAGAAGCCTGAATTTAGAGCACCAGCTCTAGGGGAAGGCTTTGTCTCTCTGTCAGCTCTGGAGGAAGGTCCTTGTCTCTTCAGCTTCTGCTTTCTGGTTCCTTGGAGATCTCCACATGTCTTGGCATCTATCTTACTCCATCCCTCTCTCTGCTTGCTTGTTTAGTCTTCTTTTTATATCTCAAAAGAGATTGACTCAAGATACACAGTACACTAATCCTGCCTCATTAACGTAACAAAGACAACCCATTCCCAAACAGGACTGACTTAACTACAGGCATAGAGGTTAGGATTTATAACATATTTTGGGGAGATACAATTGAATCCATAACACATTTGTGCAATTTTTGTAAGCCTCATGTTTTTGGATCACTACGTTCCCAGATTCATAAATATTTTACTAGTGCCATCCACAATTCTTTGTACAAAGAACCAATAAACCCAACAGGAACACATTGCCTATGAAAAGCAAAGCATAAAAGGAGATGATGTGAATCCAAGCACAGAAGTAACAGAACAGGAGGAAGAAAAACTTCCAAGAAGATAATAAGGAAGAAGGAAAGGGGTGAGAAACCTGAAGTTGGGTTAGGAGGAGAGCAGGAAGAGGAGAAATAAATAAATGAAGAACTAAAAGAATAGGAAGGAGAAAAAATCAAGATGGCATTTGAAAAGAAGTGGAGAATGTCAAAATAGACCTTTTTTCCTTAATAGACTGACTCCCCAAATGGAGACTATGAAGATAGTTCAGTAGGAAACATTCATGAGCTATTTTCAATTTTTCAGAAAAAGGAAAAAAAAAAAATTGAAAAAAAGAAACAGGCTTGCTGAAATCATATATTTACCAAAACAAGGCTACAGAGGCTGCCTAAAAGATCAAATTTCACTGGGTAAGTGAAATTATGTTGATCCAGTGATAAAATCTGTCATTTAAAGCAGCTTATGGATTCTAACACTTAGGTAGATCTTTGATTAATAGAAGATATGAACACTGATTATTACTTAATATGACGAGTTTGGATATAAATCTTTCAAAATCAATAGAAGGAATAACAATAAAGATTTCCAACCTCACTGTGAAGTCACCTCTTAAAAAAATCAGGAACCCCTCTTCTGAACATTGAAAAATATTGTTTCAATGGTTATAACAGACAAATATTTACTCATTTCTGCTAATATTTGTAGTTACTGACGTTCAGGTGATTGTTGAAGACACACACACAAAATTATTTCTAGGAAAACATGATTGTTAACTAGGTTTCTGTCTTACATGTTGATTTTTCCAACACACACACACTCCACTGATCCCAATATCAAAATCTATTTTCTGATTACATATACTATCTCTTTAATTCTAAATGAAAGACACAACCTCTAATGGTGAGATTTGTCTCCGTAAGTCTCAGGATTAACATTTGGTGATAGAAATGTTGATTATCAACTTCTCATCAACACCAATGATGTTTGATTATTTTTGTTCACTCGTACAATATTCATAACAGAAATGCTTGAAATTCAGGGAATTTATACTGTGTTGTAATTATTCAATTATTGTCGGAAAATAAAATTAATATATATCAATAAAATATATGTTAAAATGCATATGATTAGCAAATAAAAGCTTTAAAAACATGAATTTTTTTTCTCTTCACCAAGCTCTTCTTTATTCTCATGTTATCTTTCTAGTTCTCTCCTTCTGATATCCTGGCCCCAACAATTCCTTAATATCACCAGGACCTCCATCCATTGACCCTACCTCAGCCCCTCAAGTCCTCAGTTCCCTTCCTACTCACTTTGTTGTTGTTAGCTACGGATGAGTCAGCCCCAACTCATGGCGATCCTGCACACTACGGAACAAAACACTGCGTGGTCCTGCACCATCCCCACGATTAGTTACAGATTGATTGGACTGTTGTGATTCATAGGGTTTTCCCTGGATGATTTTCATAAGTAGATCACCAGGCCTTTTTTTCTAGCCCATCTTAGTCTGGAAGCTCCACTCTAACCTGTTGAGCATCATAGCAACACGAAAGCCTCCACCAACAGAGGGATGGTGGCTGTGCATAAGGTGCATTGGCCAGGAATTGAACCCCAGTCTCCTGCCTGGAGAGGGAGAATTCTACCACTGAACTACTAATGCCTCAATACAAGCACATTAACTATTCTTCTTTGAGTTAGTCTTTGACAGGACATTGCAGCATTAAGACAACACTATTATTTCACCTGGTAATTATTTTAATAAAAATTTATTTTAGTTATGTAAGTAAGCAGTGAAAACGTTTAGATCTGTACAAGATTGTACAAGATCTGAATGAACAAAACAATAAAATTTTGCCAAAGGACATGAAAGATCAGAATAAATGGGGAGACATAGTATGCTCCTGGTTGGAAATATTCTGTGTTGGGCCAATCTCTAAATTCAGTGAAATGTCAATAATAATCCAAAATTCATAAAGAGCTACCGTAAGTAAATAAGAAAAAGGTAAACAATGAAATTTAAAAATTGGCAAGAGATATGAATAGGAAATTCTCTAAAAGGAAATGTAAATGATCAGTGAATAAATAAAAAGAAGCTTAAATTCATTAATAGAGTATGCCAAGAAAAACATATGAGGAGTCACTTGCAGAATTATCATTTTAAAAATTAAAAGAAACAAGTGTTTATCAGTTGAGAAATAATAAAATATATTACAGTAAATCACATTATATAATGTTTAGAAAAAATTAGGTAGATCTATATTTACTGATCCAGAAAGATCTATAATGCATAGTTTTAAAAGAATCAAGTTGCCAAAAAAACACATACAATATTGTTAGTTTTATGTTATAATAATATTATATATAATAGTGGGTACATATGTACCTGTGTGTGTAAATAAGTCCAAGAAAACAAATCTGGAAGACATACCAATTTATTAACAGGGAGCAAACAGGTTATGGGCAGGGAGGTGGTGGGGTCCTCCCCACTTATTACTTTCTGTACTTCTGTATTATTTACATGTATTACAACAAGAAGCATTCCTGTACTAGTTGTGTAATTAGAAAAACAGAAATATTAATATACATAATATTGTAGACACTGTAACTCTACCACTCTAACTCAGCTCTAATATTTTCAGTATTCTTTTCCAGCTTTATTAAATATTTCTTTTCTAACATATTGTTTAAGTTTTCTTAGGTATGCATTTTTCATATTGCTGCATGTTAAAATAATTTTGTTGTTTTAATGTTCCATATTCTGAATGAACCATAACTTTAACTCTTCTGTTGTTGAACATTTTGATTCTATTATAAACAATCTTATGAAGAGTATCAACACCAAGAGGATGGCCCCGGGACACCGTTTTAACTCAGTAATGAAGTCATTCCTGAGGTTCACCCTTAAGCCAAAGATTAGACAGGCCCATAAAACAAAATGAGACTAAATGGGCACACCAGCCTAGGGGCAAGGACAAGAAGGCAGGAGGGGACAGGAAAGCTGGTAATGGGGAACCCAAGGTCTAAAAGGGGAGACTATTGACATGTTGTGGGGTTGGCAACCCATGTCACAAAGCAATATGTGTACTAATTGTTTAATGAGAAACTAATTTGCTTTTTAAACCTCCATCTAAAGCACAATTAAAAACAAAAGGTACCACAGATAAACTAGATAAATGGGATCTTCTAAAAATCAAACACCTATGCTCTTCAAAAGACTTCACCAAAAGAGTCAAAAGAGAACCTACAGACTG